GGGGGGCATTTTGCACTTCGTTGCTTCACTAGTTCTGGTTTACAAGTCTCACTCTGGTGAAACCTGTGAACTCTTGTGAAGCTGGAGCAAGCTCGTCAAGCCATGGTAAAACCTGTCAACTCGAGAAGAGGCTGTCTAGATGAGGTCGACACGTCGATGGGAAGTAGCAAAAGTGCGAAAAGCCCTTCCCCCCGGCGCCAAAGTGCCCCCATTTTTCTTTACTGTTTTTTTACAAGGCAGCTGCAAGCTGAATAAATTCGTACATTCGCGTTCGCTGCGGCGTACGAATGGTTTAGGGGAGAATGGTCTGGCGCTGCGCTGAAGCCAGCCCCCCCCCCCCTCCGACTACATCACCGGCGCTGACGGCACTAATATCAAAAATAAGAGGGGAAACAAAGCGTCGCTGCTATTCCTATCGAAAACATGTAAAGGCAAAATAAACGAACAACCTGGAGAACGAAAGTCCTTTCTTGCGTAACTCACCTGTCCAGTATAATCACTTCTTCCACCAAAAATGTACATTTTGCTATCGATCGCTACAGCGGTGTGGAAATCACGCCAGAGCGGTGGTTGACCCTGAAGTGGTGATGAATAATCGAGTGGCTCACTTTCCTATATACTTTAGTTCAAACAATTCTTGGTTATCTTTTTCAATGAAAAAAAAACAGAATCTGCCCCATATATACAGTTTAATTAGCCTTCACCATTTGTTGAAACGGCTAAGTGACATCGGTTGGTGGAAAGGACTGATATGAATAGTGTCCTGTCACTTGCTTGCTTTAACAACAAGTGGGAACAGGTTTGACACCCATTCCACCTGACATGCCCATTCATCCGCACCGAACAAGACTGTATCTGACCTATTCAGATGTAAACCTCAATTCTTCAAAAAGAGTTGAGCTATCCCACCAAGTTTGCTCGATGCTCTGAACTGTGAGACAACATTTGTTCTTTACGACGTATTAGAGTAGATGAGTAGGAGAATCTGCCATGAAAAAGATAAGCAGTAATCCGGTCGATTGGGTAAGTAGAAAAATGTTCCTGTTCCTCAGTAGCCGCAAAGTACGAACGTGGCCCAATCCGTATGTGAAACAGCCGTAGACTAGCCTCACATCCGATAATTGGATATGAAGCTTTTATCAGCTGTTCTTAGGCAGCGTTCAGAGTTCGCGATGGCAGCGCTTCGGTCGCGCATCCGGCGCAATCGATGCCGTAGAAAGCATGCGCATCGATGGCGAACGCGCGAGCGACGAGCTACCATCGCGAAGTCTGAATTGCTGCCTTAGTCAAATAGCACAGCTGCGCTCTCGCTCCAATTTGAGACAAGAAAAAAAAAGAAACTCTCAAAAAGCTATGTCACGAAAGCTATTTAAACTAACCGTTGTGTGAAATTCGCTCCATCGGTTCGTTAGAAATCAAAAGCAATAGGTTTCCTGGCTGAATCGTTGCAAATCTTCTTCGAAACCGCCAAAAAGGAACATGCGATCACCGACGACCACCGCTGAGTGACCATCTCTGGCCGGTGGGACACGACCTTCTACAGGGACAATACGCCAACGAAGCAGCACTGAAATTATACCCTTTAGATAGAATTTTATTCCTGCTCATTCATCATCAGAGTGTTCAGTTTCCCAAAAGGGATATATGAGAAACGACTGATACAACACTAAACATGTTCAGAAGAAAAAGCGAACATGAATACTCACCGGGATCGAACTCATGAAGTGTCGAGCTTGCACCGTAGTCATCATTTCTGCCGCCCCACAAATATGCTCGTCCTCGGTATGCACAAACCGTATGCCCATAACGTTGATATGGCAATGCATCTCAGTTGGTTCCATATCGTCTTCTTCATCTTGAGCAAACCTTTCTAATGGTTCGCTTTCTGTCTGCCGTTCGCCATTAGCTCTTTTTCAAATGATGGTCACTGCACTCTATTTTGCAGATTTGTTCAAATTAGAGTTGCAAGAGCGCTGCACTATTACAGCCGTTTCACTTTTCCAGAAATTCAAAAAAACCGCGCCCGGGGAAGATGGCTCGTCGCCAATCGCCTACTCGATACACCCCTCCCCTTCCCCCACCTTTCTTCCAAGCATCCAAGTATGAACCTCCGAACGGAGATCCCAGAGGGTGCACCCTGACTACTACTCTCCAGAATTTTTTTGCGAATCCATTCAAAACACGCCGGTCGGGTAGCTCGCTAGGAAATACACCGACACTACAACTAATGGAAGTTCGTTTCCGCTTCACTGGATTGTGGATTCTTCGTCCATTAAAAGTCGACGATTTCTGCGTCCCTCTCCCGGGAAGTAAAGCGTTTTCAATTAGATGTAATTATGGTATTAGGTAGGTCCCATGAGAACTTAGGAGCGATCTTGAATTCGACCCTTTGAATGGAGCCGGAAGGAGCAGTAAAAATTCTGTATACGTTAGACCGAAGCCCATCACATTTTATTTCAAACGAACTTTTTCGCTCCTGACTTCAACTGGACCGACATTGTAATTCGTCAGAAATAGCCAATCAAAGTTGAAATGCGATTGATGGTTCAATGAAAACAAAAATCGTTCAGAGGACAAAATCAATCTTACTCACCCTATCATCGCCTTCTTCCACGTCTGATGAATGAGCCTTTACAGAAATCCATCGATATGTATCTAAATTAAGCATGCAGAGAGTTAGAGAGAATTAAAGTAAACCTAAAATTGAAAAGTGGTAATGCTCTTTCGAATCCAGGACATTTCGGACAGGGAGAATGGTCCACTTCTACAATCACAGAAAGAGGAAAAGAACAAAGAAAAGAGTAAAGAACAAAATCGGCGCGAGTTCGTTGGGATGGGGGAAAGGGGGGGGGAGGAGTGAATGACTCTGAGAAGGAATGGTAATGCTGTAATGGAAGTGAGGATGTTGAGCTAAGGAAGGCTCAGGGTAGGCGAAGCAAAAGTATTTACGCTTACAGTTGCTCCCAATTTGCACAATGAATCTTTTAACGCCCCTCCCCCTGGCGAAGTTGAAAAAGTTCAATAGAGAAAGAGCTGAAAGTAACTCACTAGTGTCTAACATGTGAATATCAATCGGCTGTTCAGGATCGACCGTCTCGCCGCTGCAATAGCCACCAAAAGGAAAAAACCTGAAATAAAACCAGCTTTAATATATGTTCCGCACCCATTTGGTCGAATAGGACTGATTTTTTTTGCCAACATCCTAACATTTCGTGTCCGTCAATGAACAAATTAATAAACTGACAAATAAGTAAATGAATAATTCAGAATTTTCCAAAAAAAGCACCTTTATGAGAAAGCCTAACCACTGATTCCTGCAACGTCTCTCATCATATTGAATAACAGCTAGATTCTCTCACAGGCCATTTCACGATACTCCCTGATAACGATACCTGGTCGCCTTTTAAAGGCAGTTGGCACGATAAGTTCTCGAGACGAGTAGGATTAATACGCCTGGCAGGACGAAATTCCGCGCCCCTGAGCAGGCGCTGCGTAGCGCCTTTTCCAAGGAAGGTACCCTTATAAGGCCCTATCAAGCTGCAACATACCGACCCGGACGCCCACCGCGCCCGCCCGCCCACAAATGGACGACCGTACCTGATGCTCGTATTGCTTCATTTGCAAACAAAATATGAAGCGAAGCGATGAAGTGGCAGCGGTGTTACATGGATATATGAGTACATACATGCAGCCGTACCTATGGAGCGGTTATTTGCAATACGCCTACGGGAAACTCGTCCGAAATTGCTTTTCGAGTCATGGAGAACGAAGGCTTTTCTTCGCAGGTTTTTGACCGTTTCACTTCGTTTTTTCGCCATTTTCCCCGCTATATAGCACCCTGCTAGCATTTTAGACTACCAAATTTAGAGTACCAAATTTATCGTGCCAACTGCTTTAAGTGGGAGGGCATATAAAGGACTGCTTGCTAGTGGTGGAGTCACTGTAGCACTGAATCCCCTTCTTACTCAAGGAAACTGCTTCACCCACCCTCGGAACTCCTTCCTCCCTAAGCGAATATCCTAATCTTCTTGACACATCACGTTTCCACAAAGAGTCCTTTACATGCACCCCCGCCACACCAAGGCGTATAGCGCCGACCCCTTTGTTGATCTTGAGCCCAATTCTGGCTGAAAACCACTTTCGCTCTTATCACAGGGGACGCACTTATGTTCTACTTCGTGATAAAAACAGCGCGCTGACAAGGATGCTGTTTTGTCAGCTTCTTTTGCAGGATACAGCACAGTCTGATCCCAATTCGAAGAAAAGTTCGCTCAAGCGCACTGCTTTCTCACATGATCTTCACTCTTATGCACCTATACTGTGAACCCGATTCGATAAGATCGAGGCTATTACAACATGACTAGCGCGACACTTCCCGTCTGATCATACCATCCGATAATTATCATCGGAGAGAGAAACATGCTCGTTCTCCGAACGATTGACCTTTACTTCGTTGATTTCAAACGATAGCCTTCCCATTTGAAATCAGCGCATTTCATTCCGAATGAGAAAAAAATCTCTCAAACACGATCCACTCCCCCTCGTCAACGGCTGTTTGGAATGATTAGAAACGCTTCCATATCAATGAGCACAGTTGCAAAATATACAACTGGACAGCTTGCCCCTTGTATTCCGCCGGTATAGTCCACGATTATGAGTTTTCACAAGCTACTCCGATGGATTCCGCTTTAGCCAGAGCAAACGTTCCTCGATCACTCCGAGAAAAAAATACCACCTGCAGTAACGAGCCAATTACCGGCAGCAGTCACCAAACCTTTTCTGTCCACAATTCTCGCTGTCTGGCGAAAAATTCTGCATTAAGACAGCAACCCTCAACAGCGCCGTCACAATCAGGCAGCGTACTTCACTAATACTGGAATTCAAAGGCAGTTGGCACGATAATTTGGTACTCGATCTGAAATGCTGCCAGGGCGCATATAGGAAAATGGCGAAAAACGAAGTGAAACGGTCAAATCGGAGGAAGAAGAGCCTTCGTTCCTTCCGATGGTTTCGGAATGCAATTTTGGACGAGTTACCATAGACATGTTGCCAATAACGCTTTGGCTTAGGTACCTAGGATTCCTTCTTGGAAAAAGGCGTAAGCCCCCTAACTTAGGGTCCACGCCCATATTAATCCTACGGCCAAATGCCGTTTGGACTCCAGCAATTTCGGCACCGAGCTCATTTTCAAATTTCCTAAGTCACCAAATCCGCTGAAAACTTGTATATAGGGGTAGTTTAACATCCTGATTACGAATATGACATTCACTCTTGTTGCTGGCGCCAAGCGGGGACACTACGATTACCTCCTGGGCTCAGCCTTAGCAGATAATCGTAGTGTCATCCATTAGCGCCAGCGCCAAAAATGAATGTCATATTCGTGATCAGGATGTTGAATTACCCCTATATACAAGTTTTTAGCGGATTTGGTGACTTGGGCAGTTTAAAAATGAGCTCGGTGCCGAAATTGCTGGAGTCCAAACGGCATTAGCCGAATTCTACTCCATCCTAGGGATTTATCG